CTGTTTGCATTATGCCCCTGACTGATAAGAAGCTTAGAATGGAAGTGACAAGGTTGTACAATTCATTTGAAGAGTGATTCTATGCCCTTGGGCCTCTTGTTTTTAAAATCATAATCCCCAGAGATAGGATGAGGCCACAATAGAAGATCATATAGTTTAACATAGGAATGTATGAAAAAAAAAATTAAAATCTTCTTCTCCAGAACAGAAAAGGTATGATAAGTCATACTGATATGATGCAAGCATTGTCAAGTTATGTAAATTCAATTCTGTTCAAATCATGACTTCGGGATAGGGTGGGGCCACAATGAGTGATTAATGGTTTCACGTGATAGGAATAATAGGGGAAAAAAAATTCAAAATCTTCTTCTCAACATTTGCAAGATATAATTATAGGTAGTCATATTAATATGGAAGCACCTTCAGGTAGTGTAAATTCAAACGTTTTTCAAATTATGATTTTCGGGGGGTTGGGCAACAATAAGACTCAGTTTTCGCACAAAAGATCAATACATGTAATCATGTTTAGATCTATCTGAAAGAACTGATTTGTCCAATTACTCACATTTAAAGGACAATCTGAAAATTATTGCATCTGCTATATTAAACGTATCAAAAGTATATTTCCTCATTAAAATTATTCCTATCAAAATTTGTTTATTTGCCTTACCTTAAGTGTAACGAAATATTAGAAGATATCAATGCTGCAGACTTACTAAATCATATAATTTTAACAGTCATTACAAAGGAATCATACAGTATATTAAATTTTATATCATTGTTTACTTCATATAACTTTGACTGCATATATATACCTTTGTATAGGAGATAACATTATCATGTTACTGTTTTAAAAGGACCAGATACAGTCTGCAACTGCACAGAAGATTTACATCCTGGAAGACATCGAAATTAGAAAATACAAAGATGGAGGGATCTATGGCAAGGCAAGCATTTTGTGTGCCAAGACCTACTTTGGATGTGTGCATGACTTAATCGTAACAAATGAGGCCATCTTCCCAAAGATAAGGGCAGACAGCTGCTACTTAGTAGTTGACTACCTCTTGCTTCAGAATGGACTGCTGAAAATGACAGAGGCTACTAAAGTATGTTCTTCCTGCTATATAAAATCAATAACGATAATATACATGATGCTCACAAATTATTTCAAATGAAAATTCAAGAATATGAAATGCCAATTTTTTATGATGAAAATAATGAACATCTGTATAATTTCAAATAATAATATTTTTTATGAATGTACTAAGTGAAAAAAATTATTAATAGCTAATGGACACAGCCAGGCCCACAATTAACCAATCGGTTGTCACCCAGTGGAAAAATCCACAGCTGGTTAAGGTAGCAGAACTGACAGCCCTGAAAAAGGGCGACAGGGTGTCAATTAAAGGAACTGTGACGAAGGTATGTATTTAAACTGCATCATACATGAAAGAGTTGTGTGAAAACACCTTCCCCATCCTAACAAAATGACAAAAAAATTGTTACATATATGTTAATGTACTGATTAGAAGTTGAGAATTTATTGGTACACATGGACATACAGAGGTTGGATTTTAATAGAATGTAAACTTAGTAAAACACAAAAAGAATTTCACATCTGTACACTTAGAGAAACCTATAACCACTAACTAATATGTGACCTCTAAGAAATCTCATTGGCTCCTCAGTGCAGTTGATTTGGTAAAACTGATAAGTCTGGGAGGAGGAATCCTATATCTTTTTACACATAAATTTATGAAAGATCTAACGTTGAAGAGACTGCAATCACTTTGCCATGCACCAAGTCAACATAAGCAGTCAGTCACATCTGTCAGCTTACTGGTTATCATGTGTTGACTGTAAACTTTATAAATATTTCATCTTCTTGAATCTTCCCTTGAACCGTTATGCCAAATCATAATAGAAATGGAAAACACAGTGTGATAAATAGAATATTCTTAGTGCATTTAACCACTTCATGCAAATATTTTTATGCACAGATATAAAATTATAAATATAGAAAATAATATGTCTTTTCTTTCCTCATTTACAGGGATTAACAATTATATTGGCAATGCAATATTGCACACACAAAAAATACATAACCCTCTTATGCTTGTTATGTTATTACATTTCTAAACTAAAATCCTTCAATTAAAATAGGTTCAACATGTTTTCTTGCAACTTCTGAAATGACTAAATGTAACCAAATATTTGTAACTCTGACGCGTCTTGTCAGGTATGTGACCAACTGTTTACATCATAAAAGTCTTGTATTCCTGGATATACAGTTTCATGGGGTGTAGAAATTGAGTGCTCCTTGCCTCCGATTTCCACGCCCCCATGAAACTACATCTAATACAACTTGACATTTAAGTTTTAATTTGTAGTCCTTTACATACTAAGAAAAACAAAGCATGTGCTTTAATATTGATTAATAAAAATATTGAAGAAAATTCTTGCAAAATCTTAAAGATACTGTGCTTAAACTTTATGCCTCCCACTGAAAAAAGGGGCATATTGGTTTGCATCTGTCAGTATGTCATTACACCAAGACCAGACATCAACTTGGGACAGTAGTACCCTCAAAAGAAGTAGCTATGATGAGGTCACAAAGTCAAGGTTCAAAATACATTGAACATAAAAAGATATTGTTTGCTTAAAATCTTGAGAACTTATCAAAGGTGGTACACTGGTAACCCTTAAGGAGTAGATGTGGTTGCAAAATCAAGGGGTCTGCCCTGTTTATTTACCAAAATCTTCGTAACCACTTGGGGATAGTTATCTTATCAGCTGTGTGCATTCAAGCAAGAAGTAGTATCCTGTGGTCCGCTACACTTGACACCCTGAATAAATACCATCTCATGCATTAAATAAAAGATAAGTAACATGCACTGAATAAAAAAAGAAGTTAGTCAGCTTTCATTTTTTGCTTTGAAAAACAAAAAAGGTACGACACAGGTGAAACAAAAATGGCACTGAAGAAAAGGGCATGGCAATGCGCCACAATAGTTTCCCTTTGATTTAACATTTAGTCTAATATTTTCATTTTTACAGCATAGCTCATGAGGTTGTGGTGGGGCGGGAGCAAAATATACTGCAAGATCAGCAAGAATAAAGTTATACATAAAATGTCCAAAGCTATACATAAAAAACATTTAGTCTAATATTTTCATTTTTACAGCATAGCTCATGAGGTTGGGGTGGGGCGGGAGCAAAATATACTGCAAGATCAGCAAGAATAAAGTTATACATAAAATGTCCAAAGCTATACATAAAAAACTTCAAACAAAGCATTTAATTTATTTATATTTTCAATTTAACGAAAGTGATCATATGTTCCCATATGGACTTATCATTTCAGGTGTCACCACTGCTGGAAACCGAAGTCAGCAAAAGAAAGATCATTTCAATTGAAGAAGACGGAAATGTGGTGGAAGTTAAACTCTGGAATGAGGAAAGCAACAAAGAGTGCCCTGTAGGAGAAATTGTCAAGCTGAAATGTCTGTCTGTGGATATTTACAAGGATAAATATTCATTAAATTCAACCAAAAACACAACCTGTGAGGTTTGTAAAATTCTTAATTGCATTATTATTGCAGGAAAATTTTTAATAGAATTCAAACAATATTCTAAAGTAATTAATTACTGGCCAGTGCATAAGAATCATTTTGCTTATGCATTGAAGTTTTTCAGTTACCTTAGTGACAGAAGTGGACTGTTAGCAATTATTAAATGTTTGTTCCAATTTTATGATGTCCACTGTTTAATTTCTGAGAATATATTGTGAATCTATCCAAAACGAATGTGTGAATAATTCACCAATGACCAAGCACAAGAAAATTGAAAATGTTTCTGATGGCGTGGGACTTCCATACAGAGCTGCCTCACACTGCACAATCATTGCAAATTTAATGCAGCTATTGGGACTCAAGATTCTTACAAGAGGATCATTACCAATACACTTGGTACTAAAATTTTCATTATCTAAAGCAATTAAAGTTGCATGCAGCAATTTTTAAATATACAGAACTTTTCTTTACAGATTCTGCAGGAGGATGACGACTTTGCTGGAACAATTGAAGCTGCAAATTTTGATCAGTATGTAAATTTGGTTGTATAAATATATACCATTTTAAGAAATATGATTATCTGAGAATTTCTCAAATTCTGGAAACTTTTCTCATATTTCATTGAAATGAAAAAATATTTTATTTCAATAGAGCTGGACAAAGCGTATACATTAATGGTATGATTCTGAAAGTAGAGGAGAGAGACCTCGACAGAATTTTTCCTTTGGGAATGTTCACAGAGAATGTCTCAATTGCTGGGAAAAAAAGGGGCTCCACAATAACAACCATGTAAGTTTCCATTGTTGGAATCATGTAATTATTTCATAATCACAACAAAAAGCATTTAATTTGATAAGAAATTTTGCATATCATGAACACATCTTCTATTACGCCCAAAAGCTTAAGTGAGCTTTTCTGAATAAGATATTCAATGCCTAATGACCATATTTAAATCTAATAAATGAATGGTGCGATTTTTGTAATCATCATATCCATTTGAAGGTGTTTACAAATAAAAATACTCCACCTAAGGATTTTACACAAAATTGTCCAATTAATTGTACCTTGAATTTTACATCATTGTAAAAAGTAATTTCATTTTCATACAAATCTCTTGGTAAAAAAGCATAAATCCTTCTTTATTAAAATATAAAATAAAATGATTTTCAGCAGATATTTTGAGAAAATTAAAATTTTCTTATTTTTGTGCAGGTAACTCTTAAAAAAAACTTGAAGCTGCAAAATGGCCACCTTCTAATATGTTACCAGTCATGTGAATTTGGTTTGTCTCACTTTCATCGTTATTTAGCAATACATATCTAACTACTTTAAAATGATTCTAAATTGTTCAGTATCCCTTCAATGGGGATTGAATGTCCATTTATTGTGTATTATCTGTTGTTTGTTTTGTACAAACTTTTTAGACTTCTTCAGAACCATTGACTAAATAACTTCAACAAAACTTGCCATAAAGCATCTTAATGAAGCTGATTCATATTTACAAAAATTAAGGGCCACATCCTCTTTCAAGGACGATAATTAAGAAATAATAAAATATGGTGAGATCATTTGTAAACATCCAGAATGAACCAGCAAAAAAAAAAAAAAAACGTGACATCTTCCTTGTATATTGAAGAAGATTCAAATTTGTTTAAATAATATGACCCCATGAGGTGAGATGGAGCCAGAATAAAGGATTAAAATTTACAGAGGATTTCCTAAATTCCTACCATTTTACAACTGAGTGAATTGGAAAATTGATGTGAAATTGTTATCAGAATATAATATATTCAGCTTATTGACAGAGCTACAATTCAATATTGTTTTTGCTGGCAACTGTTACTTTAATAAATATAAATTGTCATCATAAATGACACCATTATTGTTGGTATCCGAGTCAGTGAAAGAAGTGATTTGAAGTCGGTAAAAGAAGTCATTGAGAAAATTCTGGAAATAATAGTCTAGCATTAGAGGAAAAAAAAGGGATAGCCAGATAATGAGAACCACACATCATTAGAAAGTAAAGATCACTGTACAGCTCATGAAAGAACATAAATAGATTGCATACACATTGTAGAACTCAATTGACCTTTTATTTACCATATTTGAATTTTTTAGTGAGACAATCACCCACAAAGATTCTGATTGAATTGAAGGCAAATTCGAAAAAGATGGTTACCAGAGGAGAAGATGATCAAGGCATTGATTACAGCCAAGTAGCTGAGCCTGTCAGTAATTCCGTAGAGTTCCATAGAAAACCAATCAATGTAGGAATAGAAGTGTTAATTTTTTAATGTGACTGTCATCCATGACCATTCCAATTGAATAAAGAAAGAGCAGGTTTTCTGACACCATAACTAGAACAGAAGATGTTCAAGATTGGAAACTGTAGCTTTAAATCAGCTAAATAGCTATAAGTAAGGCCAAAAATATATACTTTTGTTTCCAGTCACTTAACTGTCCCTACATTTTACCACCTGACCCAAAAAGTTTTTATGGCAGATATTGTGATCAATAAAAAACAAGTATTATTCCCCTTAATTTCTCTGAAAATGATCCCATTTGTTTTTTTATCACAGTACATGCAAAAATTAAAATGTCTTAAATAAGTATGTAGATTTACTTTGAAAACAGATAAAAATGTACTGGTAATGGCAGCTATTACTGAATGAAAGGTCTGACTAATATCAGAAATAAAACCTTATTTGTTTAAATAATAGCATCATAAAACCTGCAGAAATTGGAATCTTAAATTAGTTTATCTACTTTAAGAACTGTGAAAATTTACAAGAAGATGAAAATAAAAACATATTTTATTGCACACTATTAATGGCAGCCATTACTGAACTTGTGTCTGACTAATATAAGAAATACTCCACTAGAGATTATTCTTTACAATATAGACTACTCTCAGGAGATTTTATGTAAAAGAGGGGAAATATTTTTTATTTCAAAAAAAAAAATGTGGAAGATGCATATTTAACACAAAGATATATATATGTATATAGAAAATAATATAATGTTAAATTATTTTTCAGAAAGGCTAATATTAAAATCTACAGAAAGTATGTATAATGATAAATTCTCACACTGACTGTATATTTTGTTCTCCATGTTTTTTTGTTTTGATATCATTTTTTTAAATGTCACATTTCCTAATTAGGTAAAAATGAGGAAATGAACATGTAACTATGAGACTTCATAAAGCTGTTAGTTTAATAGGATGAATCCACACTACACACTATGCTACAAAGACAACTACAAGTGTATTTCTAAAGGCATATGCAAAAAATGTGAAAGTTATTTATCATATTTTTAGATTGGCTCAGAAAAAAGAAACCTAAGGCACATTTTTTTTCATGTTGCATTATAATTAAACATAAGACGGGGTATTCATGTCATTTGGACATATTTCTATACTACAAGGCCTCTGTGATGTAATTGTGCAGTTGTTATTGTACTTACATATATGATATATTTGGTCTTCATTGAATTTTGAAAAAAAAAAATTCTTACTATTTATTACCTACCCCAATTTTTTGGTCTTGGGGGACAGGAAGCAAGAATATATCTATTTGGCATAGTTTCTTAGAGCACCATAGAAATGTAGTGAGTAGAAGTGTTAATTGTGTTTTGTGACTGTACACCACAAAGATTGTGAATCAAGTCCAGGAAAGTTGATTTGCAAACACCTTAACCAAAGTATAAGATGGTCAAGGTTTTGAAATGAGTCATAGGTGTGAGTAATTTCTTAGACCACCAGGGAAAAAAAGCAGTGAATAGAAATTTTTTGTTTTTAAATAAACCATGATATTAAGTATGGCAAAGTAATATTTTGGAACTTTTATCCTGATTGTTTTCAACTTCTTGACCCCAGTATCTTCATTCCATGATAATTTTTGTAGAAAGACCGTAAAAACTTGAGAACAAAAAAATGTTATTAAATTTAATATCCATCATTATATAAGACAAGAAAACTTTTGTTGATGCATTTACAGACTATATATGAGAGGCAACTTCAGTATCTACTTCTTTAACTTTTGAAATGCTTGCCATGCCTGTGTGGAGGGATGTATATATGTTAATAATTTCAAATTTGAAATTATGTAGCTATATAGAAGGTCACTATCATATGCCATGACAGATATATTAGGTAAACAACTTTGTCATTTGAGCTATAAAAACTGCAAAGTTCGATTTTTTTTATTGATCAGGTTAATTTCCCAATACTTATTTTCACAAACTGAAGGGAAAAAATAAGTGTTCTCATTGTGTATATATATACACAAGAAACAACAATTCATGGAAGAATATAAAAAGAATTGATATACACTGTTATTGCAGGAATAAATGTGACAGAACTTACTTGACTTCCTTGTTTTGTGTGAAAAAGAAGAAAGTGTGATATAAAGCAAAAATATTAATGGATATTTGAATCACTCGCAGAATTAGATATTCATTAGTAAAATTGGATGATCCCTTAACATTTGAAATTTCCACTAAAATAATCAATCTTATGTCCCCATTGAAAAAGGAGGGATATTGCTTTGAACCTGTCAGTTGATGGGTTTTTAAACAAAACGTTGTCCGATCAATGTCTTGAGAACCCTTTGTTTTACAGACAAAAACGTGATTCATTAGTACCCCTTTAAAAGTAGATCTCACCTTTTGATTTGAGGTCACAAGGTCAAGGAAAAAACTACCCAGGATATATGAAAATGTCCAATTATCCAATTAATGTCTTTAGGACCCTTTCCTTGACAGACTTTAAAATACGTACATTCGTTCCCATAAAGAGTAGAATTTTGAGATCACAAGGTTAAAGGTCAAGTTTAAAATTGGACATGGAAAGATATCTTGAGAACCCTTTACATGACAGATGGCAAACTTGGTACACCAGTACCCCCTGGGGAATAAAATATTTTGAAATCAATGAATTTTATGAAACTTTCAGTAAAGATGGAAAATGACTTGAACCTTACGCATTTTTAGCTCACCTGAGCCGAAGGCTCAAGTGAGCTTTTCTGATCAAAATTTGTCCATTGTCTATCATCGTTGGCGTCGTCAGAGTCTTAAACTTTTTACATTTTCATCTCCTTCTCAAGAACCACTGGGCTAATTTTAACCAAACTTGCCACAAAGTATCCTTGGGTGAAGGGGATTCAAGTTTATTTAAATGAAAGGCCGCGCCCTCTTTCAAGGGGAGATAATAAAGAATTAGTGAAAAATTAATAGCATCTTTTAAAAATCTTCTTCTCAAGAACCACAGGGCCAGGAAAGATGAAACTCAAGTGGAAGCATCCTCAGGTAGTGTAGATTCTATGTTGTTCAAATCATGACCCCCGGGGGTAGGGCAGGGCCACAATGGAGGATCAAAGTTTTACATAGAAATATATAGGAAAAACCTTTAAAAATCTTCTTCTCAAGAACAACAAAGCCATGATGAGTCATATTTATATGGAAGCATCTACAGGTAGTGTAGATTCAAGTTTGTTCAAATCATGACCCCCGGGTTAGGGCGGGGCCACTATGGAGGATCAAAGTTTTGCATACAAATATATAGGAAAAATTTTAAAAATCTTCTTCTCAGGAACAGCAAAGTCCTGATTGATCAGAAAAAAACACAAGAACGACTTAAGCTATTAAGGAGCTGAAACTCTAAGGGATAATAGAGAAAGATATGTAGATTTGCATGCAGCTTTTCACTTTTGCAGGAACTGCTGTCCGGCGACGCTCGCTATGGCTTGAAAAAAGGCACATGGACAATGCAAAGATTTTTAACACCTTTTCTAAAATTTCTTTTCATATATAAATATTTTGTTAAGATATTGTAAGTTGAAGTTGTGCAGAATTAGTCAGAAGAATTAGTTGAGAATATGTACTTCATCAAATAAGCAAAGTAGTTGAAAATATCAAGAAGCACGTAGTGAGATCCTCAAAAGTCAAATGATGTCACATTAACCAGAAGTAGTTTCATAAAGGCTATTTTTTCAGATATCAGCATGGAATTGAATGATTGACATCACTGAAGATGTCCAGAATAATTTTTGCAAATGACGTTACTTCCAGTCGAACCGGAAGTAAGTTTGAATGGCATATTTTGACAATTACATGCATGGAAATGAATGATTAAGGTAAATGAAGACAATTTTCGTCAATTTGCGTCGTATAATTTTCAGATATTGCTCGTTTAATTATATCTCTACAACTCGGACGGAAGACCTTCTCGTTGCTCGCAACGAGATCGCATCTAGTTATTATTATTATTATTTTTCTTATTTTTTTGACTTTCTAATTTTGTGCACGCGATTTCTCAAAGACTACTGGATGGAATTACATGAAATTTTCAGGACAGATGTGTTGTAACATGAATTTATTATATCCGAGAGAAAATTTGGAAACTCACTTCCGGTGCCAAGTTACGGACAATTTCCTGAAATTAAAATGACATTTTGTCCGCGATTAAACTCAAAAACGGTAAAAGATATCAACATGAAACTTTCAGGGATAATAGATCGTGATATCTATCATCCAGGACGCGACATTTCGTTCGTCGTCTATACTTCCTGTCGTCAGGAGAAGCAAATTGAAAAAATCGTATTTTTCAACTTTTTTGTTTTTCAACATTTTTTATTCATTTTTGGAATGATAATAGAGACCCTTTGATCAATGCTTACTATATAATTTGTTTGAACATTGGTTAATCAGAACTCTAGATATTTATATTTGAAAATCTGAAGCGGACCCAAGATGGCGGCTGTCTCTGTCAACTCCGCCATTTCGCGAGTAGGGGTTTATGGAGGCAGCTGAGCGTTTGACTAAATGATACATGACAAGTAAAAAAACTACATGGACTTTCACCCTTCAATACGCTGCAATTCACTGACAATCTTAAAACTTAATTTCCGTTTTACTGCTTTAGTGTAATTGTGGTAGATAAGTGTGTGTAATGTATTAAATTTACTTTCTTAGCGTCGAAACAAATAAAGGCGATAAGAAGTTGTTTAATTTAATATTTAATTTCATTGAAGCTATCACACCTGTTCGATAGATCAGTCTATCATATAGATCTTTTTGAGAGGTTTCCAACTGTATATTTCTTGTGATTTTTAATGCACTAATTCAGAAACTATTAGCTCATATCTATAAGCATTCTGTTTTGACAGAACATGTCCTCGCGTTTTAGAAGTAAACAACTTATATTTAGTTACAATGGTGGACATTTAACGATGGCTGTGATTGGTCAACCAATGATATGACAGCTTATATATTGATATCCTCCATTTTGAATATTTGAACCGTACGCGCATCCTAATTGCGCATGTGACGTCATTATTCTAGAACATTCCTATTTGTCGGTATATAAGTCGATCAGATTAACCGGAATTCTATTTTACGCTGTATTAATCATTCCGATAATACGATAATCGGATATTACGATAAATTCCTGCTTTTGATGAATTTCATCGAAAATTATAATTTTCAGATATTGCTCGTTTAATTATATCTCTACAACTCGGACGGAAGACCTTCTCGTTGCTCGCAACGAGGTCTTCCACAAAAATATGTGATTTTGTTG